TTTCGAACCTCTGCCTTTGGCTAGCTGCCTAATGTTTAGCCCATTGCTCTATCCTTGATCCTTTCTTCCCCCATCTCCTCACTTTAACTAACTCACTGCCATCAAGTGCATCTGACCATGCTGACCCTATAGGACAGGGTAGAACTGCCCCTGTGGGCTTCCAACACTGTAACTCTTAACAGGAGGAGAAAGTCTCATCTTTCTCCCAAGGAGCGGCCGGTAGTCTTGAACTGCTGACCTTGTGGTTAGAAGCCCAGTTGCAGCCCAGTGCCTAACCACTATGCCTCCAGGGCTCACTCTTCACTGAAATGGCTTGATTCCACTACTGACCCATGGCGTCAGAACTGCCCCGGCCCACCCCCAACCCCCATCTGCTTGAAGCTGTGTGGCCAGCGACAGGAACACCCTGCCCAGTGAATGTGGGCCGCCAGGCTAAGCTGGTCACCCATCATCCTGCAAGGGCCCCTTTCATAGGCATGAGCGAGACTATCTCCCAGATGGGGAAATTGAGGCCCAGAAGGACACGTGACTTGCCCTCACGCGGTCCTTCGGCTGCCCCTGCTGCCAAAGTCACAACCAGCCCTGAGAGGCTGCCAGGCCAAGGTAGGGTTCATCTACTGTCAGATTTCGGGAGAGGCACTGTGAGCTAGGGTCAAGTCCGGAGGGAGGGTAGCCATTGCAGGTCTAAGCACTGCACCGAGGAGTGGCCCCGGCCCAGCAGGTAGCCATCCAGTTGACGGCCTTCCCAGGTGTCCGAGGTCATCACTCTATAGGCGCAGCTTGCTTCATCGTCCTCCGGTGGGTTTGCAGTCAGCAGTCTAGCACCGACCCCACGCCCAAGTCCTCACTGTGTCTTAGCTTCGGTCCTGTGCCGAGTTGATGTCACCAAACAGCAGTTTGAGGTTGGGAGGATCACCCTTTTCCGAACGTTAAGCCAGGCCTTCCTCAACTGCCTTCACTTGTGAACCCCATCTCGCCGGAGAACCTTATCACACGGGCAAGCGCTGCCGGAGACGCGGCGCCTGCATTACGCATTTGATTTGGAATTCATGTGTGGTTCTCGAAGCATTTGGCCATTGCCAAATGTTCTCAAGTACCCCGCATCAGTCTCTCGACCCCGTATTGGGTCAGGACCCCTAGTTTAAGAAGCTCTGTGCGTTCAGGGAAGGGGCCTAGGTGGCGCGGTGGGTTAAGCAGTGGGCTCTTAACCGAAAGACACGTAGTTCAAGCCCTCCAGCCGCCCTGAGGGAGATGGGTGAGGCAGTCTGCTCCCATAAAGATTTGTTGTTGTTGTTGTTGTTGTTGTTGTCGTCGTCAGTTCTGACCCATAGCCACCCCGTGCAACAGAAGGAAACCCTGCCCGGCCGGCCGTGCCCTCCTCACCGTGCCCTCCGCACTGTGGTTCCTGTGCCCGAGCCCCCTGTGGAAGCCACAGTGTCGGTCCATCTCCTCAAAGGCCTGCCTCTTTCTTCACTCCCTCTGCTGTGCCAAGCATGATGCCCCTCTCCCATGGGGCAGTTCCGCTCTGCCCTAGAAGGTCATTGTGTCCGAATGGGCCCTGCAGCGGTGGGGGCCTGGTGGCATCATGGTGACACATCGGACTGAGATCTGCAAGGTCAGCGGTTTGAAGCCACCGGCTCGCTGCCAAGGGAGAAAGACAGGGTTCTCGGCTCCCGTAAAGAGTGACAGGCTGGGAAACCCACCTGAGCAGTTCTGCCCTGTCCTGCAGGGTCACTGCATCATCATGGACTCGATGTCCATGAGAGCCCCGTGCAGGAGTTCTCCCTGCCCCGTGAGGTCCTGCTGAGTCGGAATAGGCCCTCTCACATGGGTGCTAGGTTTGTTCAGTGGGTGCTGTTGCCTCTCTGTCGCCACAGCCACTTGTCGAGGGCTCCATGTGTAGTGCGGCACGGCTACAGCCCAGAACGTTCTAAACGGGGACGTGAGAGGCCAGGGTCACGGAAGGCCAGGGCAGGACACACAGGCAAGTGCTCAGAGCCCCCCTCCGCCCCCTCAGCCCTTCCTTCCCAGCTACGGAGACAAGCACAGCCTCCAGGCCAAACCAAACCACTGCCATCCAGTCGATTCCCTATAAAGGGCTGCCCCTCTTTCTCCTGAGGGAGTGCTGGCTGGGTTTCAATGGCCAACCTTGTCATTAACAGCCCGCTGCTTAACCTACAGCGCTACTCGGGCCCCTTCCAAACAGTTACCAAGCCGGAAAAACAAACTCTGTCACTGAGTCGATGCGGACTTATAGAGACCCGACGAGACAGGGTAGAACTCCCTCTCTGGGTTTCCGAGACTAACTCTTTGTGGGAGTAGAAAGCCCAGTTTTTCTTCCGCGGAGCAGCAGATGGTCTCGAACTGCTGACCTTGCAGTTGGCCGGCCCATGGATTCAAAAGCAGTCCTGGCCTGGCCAAGCCCTGAGTCTGCGGTCACTCTCTGTGTAGGGGTGGGGGGCTGGGGAGCAGGGCACCCTGTCTCAGCCCTCTTCCCTGGTACCTGTCTTGCTGCAGTGGTACACCCCCGAGGCCAGCCTGCAGCTGAAGGAACACTTCCATGAGAAGGTCAGCGCCGCCTGTGAGCGCAGGGACACAGGCACCGTCGGGTGAGTGCCAGAGTGGACGAAGAGGCCCCGCCCTGGCCTCTGCTCATGTCCATGCCTGCAGCCCCCTCCCGCCTCCAGTCTCAGAATAACTGTTATGGTGGCATCGGGAATGTTCTCTCAACCCCCACATCTATCACCGCCCCCCCCTGTGATCCCTCGTCCCTGGTTCAGCCCCTCCTTGGGATCAACAGGGCTTGCTCTTGCCTCTGTCCAAAGCAGCTCCTACAGGTGTGAAGAGGCCAGGCAGAGGCCCCACATGAGGCCTGGAGGTGCCCTGGCCAAGGGTCCTCCACAGCCGCCCAGAAAAGCTGCTGGGTCTGAGGTAGCTGGTTCTGGGCCAGGGGCTGGGAGCTTGTTGTTTCCGAGGTCCCTCCCAACAGCATGTGGGGACTGTGACTCAAGACCAGGGGTCTCAGCCATGGCCTGCGAGGTACCACTGCCCCTATGGGACACAGGTCCAACCCACCCTGTGCAACACAAGAGGGCAGCCTGGGGCCAGCAAACAGAATCCTCTATCCAGGAGGTGGGGCCAGGGTGGACATGGCCATGCTCTTGGGGGGGTGTCCTGATGACTGCCCCACCCTCATGGAGGTGGAGTCAAGATGATGACACTGCCCTCTGGGAGGTGGGGTCAGGGTGGACATCAGAGCCCTGGGGCCCTCGCGGTCTCTGTCCCAGGAAGCTTGTGGGGTGCTAGGCTGCCTCACCAACACCGACAACCGAGCACCCATGTCTTCCTGCCCACGGGCCCCATCAGCTGCCTGGGCCCCTCAGCGGGGCCTGGACACCATGCTGTGACTCCTGGTTACCCCAGCCCACTGCCCAGCCTCTGCCGTCCCCAGGTCTGATCCTCAGGACAGGGACTTTGGGGAAGCCGGGCTTCTGCCCACTCGGATGGGATGACCTGTCGGACACTGTGAAAGGGCAGGGTGGGGTCAGCCTGCAAGAGACTGAAGCCCCCAGCCCCACCAAGCATCCACACGTGTCTTCCAGGCTCCGACTCTCCAAGGTGGTGGTCGTGGGGGACCTCTATGTTGGGAAGACCAGCCTCATTCACAGGTACACCCCACCAGTGCTGTGCTCTGTCCTGAGGATCAGACCTGGGGATGGCAGAAGCAGGTGCAAAGCTATCCCAGGTCTGGCCCTTGAGGGTGAAGCTCAGCCATCCCGGAAGGCCACTCTGCCATTGCCGCCCGCACAGGTTCTGTAAGAACGTCTTTGACCGCGACTACAAGGCCACCATCGGGGTAGACTTCGAGATCGAGCGCTTTGAGATCGCTGGGGTCCCCTACAGCCTTCAGATGTGAGTGGTGGGTGCAGCTGTGGGTGGGCTTCGGAAGGCCTGGGGCCACAAAATCAGCGGTTCCCTGACTCTCTCTTCTCCCGGACCCTCTAGACGGGTTCCTTATCCCCCAAGCTCTGGCCCCAGCACATCCCTATGAGCCTCATCATCCCATGGCTGTGAAGAGGGTTGGGGGCAGTGGGAGACCCAGAGCCAATAGGGTGCGGTAGAACCTGTCCACACCCCTTCTCAGGCTCTTTCCTCCTGACCACTGCCCTCACTCATGCCCCTGCCTCTCTTCCCCAGCGTCTGCCCTTCTGTCTGCTTCCCAGGCGGGCCCCACTGCCTCACCCGTCAGGGGCCAAGGCCTGCAGCCCTCTCGTTGACTTTCCTCAGAACAGCCCCTCCCTCCCACCCCACTGCCATCGGGTCAATTCTGAACCACCAACCTTGAGGTTAGAAGCTCAGCCCCAGATCCCCCCCTTTTCCACTGACATCTGGGGGACTTCTTGTGCAGCTCTAAGTCCTCCAGACTCTCCTGGCCCAAGCGCTGTCCCCTCCTCGGTCCTCCATTCAGACTCCCTCCTCTCGTTCCTCTCTGGCATCACATTTGCCTCCATGGCTCCCAACACTGTTGTGACAGTGTCCCCAGCCCTGAGGACGCCAGACAGAGAAAGGACAGAGGGACAGAGGGCCAGAGCGGGGCAGGAGAGGCTGTGGAGATGCAGCACTGGGGCAGGGGGACAGAGGAGCTTAGCTAGAAGGCTCCAGCTCAGGGAGAGAGAGACAATGGCCCCCTCCTCTAATTAAAGGATCCAAAAGGGTGGGCCCTGGTCTGGATCTGGCTCAGCCTCTCCCTGCCAGACCCTGAAGATCACCTCACTGGCAGCTAGCCTTCGTCCAGGATGGAATCGTTCATTCGCCCGGCAGTCCGTAGCACAGTTCACGTTCCTCACCAACACCGTGATCCAAAGGCGTCAAATCCTCCCCAGCCTCTCGACGCGCGTGCGTTGCAGCACTGTGTGCGACGGAACGGAACCCCGCCCAGTCCCCGGCCACCGTCACAATCCTTTCTACGCGGGACCCTGGTGTCGCAGCCGCTGGGTCAGCCCACCTCCTGAGGGCCTTCCTCTCCCCCGAGCCCCCTCTGCTTGACCAAGCAGGACGTCCTTCCCCAAGGGCTGGTCCCACCCGAGAACACATTCAAAGTAGACACAAGGACGTCTGACTGTCCTCGCTTCCCAGGAGCATCCTGGCCATGTGTTCCTCCGGCAGTCTGTCGTGCATTCAATGAACTCCTCCAACACCATCATTTAAAAATGCGTTTGTTGGCCTTTAGGAGTGTTTTCCAGTCCAGTCTGTTGGGGCACCACACCCTGGCCCTGAAGTCCACCTTCAGCATTCCCTGGGGACCTCGCCGCTCCATTCCCTTGCTGTTCTGTTGCACCCCTTAGTGCTTTGCCTCGGCGTGGCGGGATCAGATCGGGTGCAATTCCCACACTGTGTCTCTGGTGTTGTCCCCTGTAGGGCGGAAGAGGTCTTAAGGAGCTGAGGGCAATGGCTCTCTCAGGTATACCCTGAGACCCGAGACGCCAGCATGTTCCTCCTCAACTCTGCCCCAGTGCCTTGGACCACATGTCTAAAGGCCTCTTTTCTCTCTGCTTCCCAGCTGGGACACGGCCGGCCAGGAGAAGTTCAAGTGCATCGCATCCGCCTACTACCGGGGCGCCCAGGGTGAGCAGCAGGCATGATGCCCCACAACCCAGCCTCTGGGACAGCTGCAGGTCTCCCACCAGGTCCATGGCAGCTGGGGTGGGGAAGTGGGGGTGGGTGGGACTTGCTTTAAGTCCTTAGCTCAGGAAAACAGAGGGCAGTGCCCATCATGAGACCCCAGCCCAGGATAGCCAAGTCGGCTCCAGAAGGGTAGAGTGGGGGAAGACACTTGTCCTGGCTCAGAGATCCCAACACACAGGTAGGTAAGAGGTGGGACAGGAGAACGAGCAGCCCGGGGCTGGGGATGGCGCGGCACAGTTTCCCACTCCACGGCCAAGGGCACCCCCTCAGCCCCACCTTCCAAGGGAGAAGGCCGGCATGCATTGCAGTGGCAGGCTCCAATCATGAGCCACCCAACTGGTGTTAGGTACCTTCTAGCCGGTTGGTTCTGACTCACAGCAGCCCGATGTACAACAGAGAAAACACCACCTGCTCCTGCCCCATCCTCACCACTGAGCCCATGCCTACAGCCCTTGGGTCCGTCCATCTCCTTGAGGGCCGTCTTCTTGCTGCTGGCCCTCCATCGTGACCCAACACGATGTCCTCCTCCAGGGACTGGTCTCTCCCGTCAACCTGTCCAAGGTCCGCGAGATGAGTCCTCCCCACCCTCACCTCTAAAGAGCATTCTGGCTGTACTTCTTCCGAGGCTGCCCGTCTGTTCTTCAGGTGGTACGTGGTGTTTTGGAGACTTCACCAGCATCATAATTCAAAGACATTAAAGTAAAAGAAAAAGAAAGAAAGCACAATTCAAAGACCTCAATTCTTCAGCCTTCCTTCTTCATCTTCCCACTTTCACATGCACACGAGACGACGGAGTGAGCCACGGCCACGGCTGGGGTCAGGGGCACCTGAGCCCTCCGAGTGGCCTCCTTGCCCTTCAGCACTCTACAGGTCTCGAGCAGCAGATTTCCCCCGTGCAACACGCCCTGTGCCCACGAGGGTGGCTCCCTGTCAGATGGAATCCTTGACAGCTTTCTCTTCACCACGGGCTTGCTCATCAGGCCAGCTGTGATGTGGAAACTGGGACGTGTCAGGAAGACATCATGAGCTCTGGTGGCGCTGAGCTGTGGCGGGGAGGTGTGGGGCTGCCAACCGCCAGGCCGGTGGCTGGCACCCACCCGCTGCTCTGAGGAGAAGCAGGAGGCAGTCAAGTTTTACAGCCGCAGAAATGCTTGGGGACCGTTGGACTTTGCCTGACAGCATCTCTGTGAGGCAGGCGGAATCGACCCCAGGACTGTGGGTTTTCCAGCAAGATAAAGACAGAAACTCTGAGCAGCCTCCGTTATGGGCCGGCATCCCAGCTCTGCCACACCCGCCGTCGCCCCTCATGGCCTGTCTGGCCTGCATGTGGAGGAGGGCTCGGTCCCTTGCCATCACTGTCCAGGCTCCTCCTTCACAGCCCCTCTACCTCAGGCCTTGGTGGCCCCCAGCTCAGGCGCTGAGGAAAGCCCTTCTAGCCCCACCCTACCCCCCAGAGGGCAGCAGAGAGCAGGCATCTGGACACCACTGAGCACTGGCCAGTGACAGAGGGGCTGAGTGCATCTCTCACCCCTGTGGACCCACCTGCCCTGACTGTTTCCATAGTGATGGTAGCTGCCCCCAGAACCTGCCCTCCCTTAGTCCTTCCAGCAGCCTGAGAGCTGGGGTCCCCCAGTCACCACATCACAGGGGGACGCTGAGAGAGCTCCTCTGCGGGAAGCCTTTGGCCCAGGCAAAGCCAAGCATTCCCCACCTGCTCATCCTGCCCGCCTTCCCTCACTGAACGCCATGACCCTGAAAGCTGGGTGGGGGCTGGGGGAGCGGGGACGAGGCATGCTGCGACCTCCCTGATGAGCTCTTTTTCCCTGTCCAGCCATCATCACAGCCTTCGACCTCTCGGACGTGCAGACCCTGGACCACACCAGGCAAGTCGATCTTGGCAGCCCCGACAGTTTACCCTCAAGCCAGGGCCATGGCAGCGGCCAACCCACCTGGCCGTGGCGTGAGGTCAGGCACTGAAGGACTACCGCCCCCCACCCCCCAACACCGACCCTAGATGTTTGCTGTCCAACTGCCTTATTAGATCCCCAGCCTCTGTATCTGAAGGAGGGCGTGGTAGAATCGTGAGCTAAGCCTTGGGCTGTTTGCTATAAGGTCGGCAGTTCAAACCCACCAACCTCTCGAAGGAAGAAAGAGGAGGTTGTCTGTTCCCATAAAGACTGACAGCCTTAGAACCCCTAGAATTCCGTTCTGTTCCGTAAGGTCACTGTGAATCAGAATCCAGTCAATGGCAGTGAGTTTATTTTATTTTATTTGGCAGCGAGTTTAAACGTGAATTTAAAGAGCCCTGGTAGCATACTGGTTACACATTGGTCTGCAAATTGCAAGGTCAGTAGTTCGAAACACCAACCGCTCCTCGAGAGAAAGAAAGGGCGTTCTACTCCCATAAATCGTTACAGCCTCAGAAAGCCACAGGGACAATTCTACCCTACCCTACAGGGTTGCCATGAATCAGAATTGACTTGATGGCAGTGAGGTTTTTGGGGGTGCTTTTTTGGTGGCCTGGTGGGTTAAGTGCTCAGTTGTTAACCAGAAGGTGGACTGTTGGAATCCACCAGCTACTCCTTGGGAGAAAGATGTGGCCGGCTGCTTCCATAGCGGTTTTTTATGAAACCTTTTGTCTTAAGTTAATTCTGACTCCTAGCAATCTTAGAGGGCAGAGTAGAAGAGCACCCTAGGATTTCCAATGCTGTAGTGCCTATGGAAGGAGCCCTGGTGGCAGAGTGGTTACGAGCAGGGTTGCGATCCAAAAAGCCCACAGTTCGAAACCACCAGCTACTCTGAGGGAGAGAGACAGGGCTTCCGGCTCCCTTGAACAGGTACATTCTCGCTGTGAGTCGGCGTCAACTTGATGGCAGGGGATTTGGAAGGAGCGCTGGTTGCGCAGTGCTTAAGCACTAGCCTGCTACCTGCGAGGTCAATGGTTCCAACCCACCATCCGCTCACAGGAGAAAGAGGAGGCAGTCTACTCCCATAAAGACTGACAGCCTCAGGAGCAGTTTTATTCTGTCCTATAGGACCACTGGCAGAGCCCTGGTGGCATAGTGGTTAAGAATGGGGCTGGAATGCACAAAGCCAACAGTTCAATACCACCAACCGCTTCTCTGGAGAAAGGCAGGGCTTTCTACTCACATACGTTCTACCCCGTCCTACAGGGTGGCTATGCGCCGGCATCGACTTGATGCAGTCAGTTTGGTTTGGGTTTGGTGGGGGGGGTGTCAACTTGTCTTGAAAGCAGTGGGTGCAGTCTTTGGTTTCTGTTGGGAGGTGTACAGCGGGCCTGGTTCCTGCAGAACGGCCGTGAGCCAGCAGCTGGCGTGGGTGTGCAGCCGCCCCACTCTGCCACCCCCATCTGGAATATCCATCCTTGAACAAGAGTTCTGGTAGCACCACCACTGAGTCCATCCACAGTGCCGTGATTGGGGCCCCGTGTGTGTGTGTGTGTGTGTGTGTGTGTGTGTGTGTGTGTGTGTGTGTCTGGCGCCTGAGGCTGGCTCCATCTGCCTGGGGTCTCGGCCTGTCAGCCATGCCTCCTCATGCCTCAGGGTCGAGCTCTGCTCCTTTGGGTGGGCTTTTTGGAAGTAGATGGCCAGGCTTTCCAAGCTGCCTCCGGGTGGCCTTGCCCCGCCAGCCTTGGGGCTGGTGGCTGGCCGAGCACGTCCATGTCACACAGGCTCCCTTGTGGCTGTTGGACCTTCGTGTCTGGTAGATCCCGAGCCCTGGGAGGCAGGCTTAGTGGTGGGCTCAGATGTTGGGGAGAAGACCAGCACCAGGACCGGGTGACGCAGTCCTCGTCCCCCATGCCTCCCAGTCCCGCCCAGGTTCTGAGGCTGCAGGACCAACGTCCATTCAGCAGTGTGACCCAAGCAGCCTCCTCACCCTGAGCCCTACAAGGACCCGAGACTTCACCCAAGCTCCTGATGGGTGGTGTCTCTCAGTCCTCCCCTCCCCCCTTCCCGCTGTGGTCCAGGCAGTGGCTGGAGGATGCGCTACGGGAGAACGAGCCGGGAGCCAGTGCCATCTTCTTGGTGGGGACCAAGAAGGACCTACTGGTAAGCAGGCTGGGGCTGGGCCCAGGCCTCCCTCCCTCCTCCTCCCCATCCAACTCGGGGGTAGGGGGAGGCCTCGATAGACCTGGACAGGGTTTGCCAAGGAGCTTGGTCTTGTCAGGCATTGGGGAGGCAGTTGGAGCCCCGCCATTTGGCAGGGGATGGGGTGGCCTCCTACGGTAGGGGCAAGATCTGGGTGGCTGGCTTCTTGGGGTAGGAGGATTGGGACGGCCTCTCCTGGGGCCCTATCCGCCGTCTCTCCCAGTCAGGGGCAGCCTGTGCACAGGCTGAAGTGGAGGCTGTGCGCCTGGCCAACGAGATGCATGCTGAGTACTGGGCGGTGTCGGCCAAGACGGGTAAGTCAGGACCGGGCAGGCACCTGCAGTATCCCTCTCGGCCCCTTCGTGCCCAGACGGAGGCTTGCATCCCGCATTCAGGGACCCAGGCCCTGCCCTGCTGTCAGGCTCTTGGGTGCTGTGGGTCCAGACCCAGCCCCGTGAAGCCCCCTACAGTCACTCAGGGAGGAAGTGGAGGGCTGGGGTCTTCCCCTGGCCTGCCATGCTGTGTGACATCGTCCCTTGCCAGGCCCCACGGCAGCACTGATACCCCACCGCAGGCCATGCCACACACCCCATGGCCATTGCTGACCCCAATGGGCAAGACACCAACATCCCCAAGCCCCAATCTCCACTCTGACACTGGCCGTTTTTAACACAAAACCCATTTTAAGTGTCAAAATCCCCATGTCCCCACTGAGGCATATTAGACCCTACAGCGAAGCCAAAGCAGGCTGTGGGACCTCTCCACCCCCCAACCCCCAGCAGGGGTGGGTCAGGGGTGGGAAGAGATGGGTAATGGTCCCAGAGCTGGCCTGATGGGTAGGGTCACAGTAAAGGGCCTTTGGCATGAGTACTGGGAGGTGGGGCCGGTGAGTACTTCCTCTGGCTGATGTTTAAGGTCCTTAGAGCCCTGGTGGCACCGTGGTTAGTGGTTACATCCGTAAGGTCCGCAGTTCGAAACCACCATCCGCTCCAAGGGAGAAAGATGGAGTTAGCTTAAGGTGACCAGATTTTAACATTGGTAAAGCAGGACAAAAGCAGAACACTATTGATAAAACTCATATCCTGGCGAAATAGCCACATGGCAGCCAAAAACCATAGACCCAAGCTTGTCGTGCATTCTTTCCAAAAACCGGGACTTTTTAAAAATGCCGCGGGACGCAGGACAAATTGTTAAAAATCGGGACTGTCCCGCCAAAAGCAAGACGTCTGGTCACCTTAACTAGCCACTCCCATGAAGAGTGCCAGGCTCAGAAACCCACAGGGGCAGCTCTGCCCTGTCCTCTCTGGTCACTGTGAGTCGGCATCGACTCGGTGGCCGGGAGTCTGGAAGACAGCGCGCAGCGCCCTGAGGAAGGCTCAGGGCAGGAGGCTCTCTTTCCCCCAGCGCTCCTGTACCTGGCCAGCTCCTGGGAGGATCTGCTGGGGCGGGACCACTCGGTAGGGTGCTGGGTGAGGGGGCTGAGAGGGGATAGGGTGGGTGCTGCAAGGTTTGGGCATTGCCCTCTCTCTATGAGCGAGACCATGTCCTCCCTCTGGGCAGGGCGGAGTCCTCCCCAGGGTAGGCTCTGTTGCTGGGGGGAGCCTGGTGCCCACCTGCGGGGTGTGACCGCGGGTGTCTGGGCCCACAGGGGAGAACGTGAGGGCGCTGTTCAGCCGCGTGGCCGCCCTGGCCTTCGAGCAGTCGGTGCTGCAGGAGCTAGAGCGGAGGAGGAGCAACGGCCGGCTCCAGGTCGGCGACGCAGGCCTGATCCGTGCGTACCCCTCCCTCGCCCTGTCCCCTCCCCTCCCCACCCCGGCCCCCCACGCCCCTGCCAGGCCTCCTTCATGGGGTCTGGCCACACACTCGCCTCCAAGCCCCTGCCCAGAACGCCCACCCTCCAGCAGGGTGCCTTTGCTGGATGCCCAAAGCCTGGGGCCTGGCTCAAGGCTCAGGGACCCTGCCTGGGGGACCTCGGTCTATGCCAGCGGGATCTCCCCTCCTTGCAGGAATGGAAGGAACGCTGCCTGAAGCCAAGGAGAGCCAGGGCCCTTCCAGCCAGAACTGCTGTTAACCACCCTGCGCCAGTCCCCCACCTGGCCCACGGGGCAGCACCTGTGACCCAGGAGGGCGGCACAGAACCCCTGCATGTCTGTGAGCAGGGACAGAGGCCTGGCCCTGCACCTTCCATCCACTGCTCAGCCAGGCCCGTCCTCCCACGGGGGGGCGCTGCAGGTCACCATGACAACCATCATCATCAGAGGGCCCCATGGCCCTTCAATCCGAAACCCTCCCAGGCCCCCTAAGGCGGGTTGGGACTCTGCTCTGCACAGCTTGCAGGACGGACCACCTGCCCGCCGGCCTTGGGGGTCCTGCAGCCAATAGGACTTGAAACCACTGCCTTGGATCGCAGCCCTGCCTAAAACTGACTTCCCTGCTGACCTGGCAAGTCCCCTGGGTCTAAAGGTAGCCCCCGCTGGACACTGGCTACCTGTTGGTTGGACCATCTAGTGGCCCCATGGCGACGCTACCCCGTTGGCCTCGGCATCTGTGACCTGACTCCTGAGTCACTGTGGGTCCTGGTCCCTGGGCTACTGCTCGCTTTGGCCACCATGTCCTCTCTCCCAGCAGCACTGAGATGTGACCAGCAGGACCAGGGACCAAGAACACATGCCAGCGAACAGTCCATCAGCCCCTTATTCCATTTCCTCAGACACCTGGGCATCAGACTGCTCCCCCCAGTGCCCACCGGACCCTCCGAACTATAACTGCCCGCCTGCATTCCCTGCCCGGGACAGGGGGCCCATTAGGTGTCCTGTCCCCTCTGCAGAAGGCGAGGTTCCTGTGGGCAGGCGTTTGAGCAGTGCATCTTGTGATACCTAGCAAATACCCACTTATTGGCCACGTGCCCCACTCCCTTTTAGCTTGAGCACTATTAAAAGATGCATTTTTTTAATAGATTTTTTTTTTAAGTCCCTGGGTGGAGCAGGTCTGAGTCTGATCAGCAAGGCCCAGGAAGAAAGACTGGCAATGTGCTGTAGGAACTCCAGCTATGAAGACCCCTCAGGGCCCAGTTCGAATCTAACCCTCACAGCGTCAGGGTGGGGGTGGGGGAAGGCAGCTGGGCCTTGTCATTACTTTTTTAAGTGAACATAAGTGCTTGAAGAACAATGAGCTTCTTGTAAGTCATGCTGAACTAGTTGGTAGCCTGGGGACACAAGGGACATTGCTGGGAATCTAGCCCTGCACGGACTCTCCTCCAGCCCCAACACAGCTTTCCTGGTGGCTGTCTGTGCAGGACACTTGGGCCCGAGAGATGGCATGGGGGACTATGGCCTGCCAGCCACGCCTAGCCCCACAATGCCCCATGTCACAGTGCCATCTGGTTCCTGGCTCCCTAGGGTTTGGGACTCAGTTCAGACGGAGGGAGGATGGGCCCTCCAGGACTCAGTTCAGACGGAGGGAGGATGGACCCTCCAGGATAGCATTAGAGGGGACACCGGGCGCTCCGTCATCCCCACTGCTCCTCCCTGCACCCCTGCAGTTTGGGTGGTCCTGCCCTGCCTTCTCTCTCCGCCACCCCAAAGGCATCGAGTCCTACAGCAGCCCTGACCTGAGAAGGTGGTCTGAGCACCCCCTCCACACCCTGATTGGTCCACCACCTGCCCCCACCCCAACATGGGATCTGCTCCTGGGGGGTTTCTACCTGGTCCCGGTATAGGTTCTCATCTCAGTGGGGTCTCTGCCTCACCCCAGTGTAAGGTCTGTACCTGGTGGGTCCCCTGCCCCATCCCAGCATGGGGTCTGCTTCCAGTGGGTCTGTTCCTTGGCTCTGTGACTCCCAAGTCCACAACCCCTCCCGTCATGTGCTCCGAGCGCCAGCAGCCCAGGGACACGTCCCAGATCACA